TGTATGTTTGTATGGTTGTATGATTGTATGGTTTCTCGCATTACATCAGTGTTTTTGTCATGAAAACGTAAACGGAAAATTCTGAAAACTTCCGTGCACTTGTATTAAGACTGGATATGTATAATTCACTCTCCGATTAACATTTCATTGCGTTGATTGATTGGCATTTGCGTTTATTGAGCGGCCGGAACTACTTCCGGGTTTTTCACGATCGCTTTTTGACGCAGAGAAATAGTATTTTTGTCATGAAGACAAGACCAGAAAATTCTGAAAATCTCCGTGCACGTGTGTGAAGAATGTATATGTATAAAGTATTCTCTGATTAACATTTAAGTGTGTTGATTGAGCGTGGCTAGCTCAGGAGTGGCCAGAACTACTTGCGGAGTTATCCACGCATTTGAAAGACAAGCACAGAGTGCGTTGCCAAAGGGCAGCGGTCATTATTGTTTTGAGAGGTCAGCAGTGTTGTGCCAGTTCACAGCTTTCCTGAACTAGTTCAAGTTCAGTTCATACATGCTCAAAGTGAACAGTTCACGTTCAAAGTTCACATTTTTAATTCTGAACTAGTTCAAAGTTCAGTTCATTTTACTTTTTTTGTGAGATATTCAAATTAATATTATTTTCACACTACGAGCTAGAAATCACACATATATATATATATATATTAGGGCTGTCAAACGATAAAAAACTTTTTGTTGATTAATCGCATAGTAATGGTGAGTTAACTCACGATTAATCGCATGTTTAACATTCTATTTCAAATCCACTCCAATTGAAGTTAAATGAGATTATCAAATATAATTACCAGTGTTGGGTAAGTTACGTTGAAAAAGTAATTAGTTATAGTTACTAGTTACTTCTTCCAAAAAGTAATTGACTTACTAACTGAGTTACTCCACTATAAAAGTAACTATCAATCAATCAATCAATCTTTATTTATAGGGCGCTTTTCCTGCACAGGGCAACACAAAGCGCCTCACAGTCCACACCACACAATGCACAAATCATCACCATTAAAATACAATTAAAAACACATATGTAATTAAAAAGCATTAAAATCACATAAGTAATTTAAAAACATAAAAATCACACAAGTAATTAAAAACAATAAAATAGTTAAAAACACAAAAAGTTACAACAATAAATAACAAGGTGTGTTAAAAAGATAAAATTCTCTAGTTGTATGCACGGGAAAAAAGAAAAGTCTTTAACATGGATTTGAACATTGACAGAGAGGCAGCCAGTCTCACATCCTCAGGAAGACTGTTCCAGACTTTAGCTGCATAGATCTGAAAAGCAGCCTCCCCCTGTCTAGTCCTGACTCTGGGCACTAACAGGAGTCCCGTCCCTGCGCTCCTCAGAGTCCGGGCTGGTTCATATGGGACTAGCATATCATGGATGTACTTTGGTGCAAGGCCATGGAGAGACTTGTACACCAGGAGAGCTGCTTTAAAGTCTATCCTCTGGGCCACGGGAAGCCAGTGCAGAGACCTGAGGACCGGACTAATGTGGTCGTACTTCCTGGTTCTAGTCAGGACTCGGGCTGCAGCATTTTGAATATACTGCAACTGTCTTACTGCATGTTTGGAGATACCTGTGAGCAGGCCATTGCAGTAATCCAGCCTACTGGAAACAAAAGAATGGATAAGAATCTCCAAGTCTGCCCTGGACACAATATTTTTAATTTTGGCAATATTTTTCAGATGATAAAAAGCTGCTGATGTTACCGATCCAATGTGGCTATTGAAGTTTAAGTCAGAGTCCATTATTACTCCCAGATTTCTGACCTTATTTAAAGGCCTTAGGGAGAGAGACTGAAGGTGACAAATGACGGTCTCTCTTTGTTTCTCGGGACCAAAGACAATCATTTCGGTTTTGTCCGCATTTAGCTGGAGAAAATTGCATTGCATCCACTCACTGATCCGCTGGATACAGCGAAGGAGTGAGTCCACCGGCCCATGCTCTCCTGCAGTCAGTGAGACATAGATCTGAGTGTCATCAGCGTAATTGTGGTAGGACACTTTCATACTTTGAATTAACTGACCTAATGGCAGCATGTAAATATTGAACAGGAGAGGTCCCAGAATCGACCCCTGTGGCACTCCGCAGGTCAGGGCCATATTATCTGAGACATAGTTTCCAATCTCCACACAATACTTCCTTTCTTCTAGATAGGACCTAAACCAGCTTAGGGCGGTACCAGCAACACCAACCCAGTCCTCCAGTCTCTGCATGAGAATCTCATGGTCAACGGTGTCGAAAGCGGCACTCAGATCTAACATGACTAAAACAGAGACTTTTCCTGCATCAGTGTTAAGCCGAATATCATTTGTTACCTTGACTAGAGCGGTCTCAGTACTGTGGTGTGGTCTAAAGCCAGACTGGAACATGTCAAATGAGTCATTAGATATTAAAAATTCAGTAAGTTGTTGGTAGGCAACTTTTTCAAGAATTTTCCCCATGAAAGGCAGATTTGAGATGGGACGGTAATTTTCAAGTACCGCAGCATCCAAACTGCTCTTTTTTAGGAGGGGCCTAATGACTGCCTTTTTCAGGGCCATTGGAAATGTTCCAGATAAAAAAGACATGTTTACTATTTGTGTCAATGAGGGTAATAGACTACACATAACAGACTTCAGAAATCTAGGAGGTAGTACATCCAGACTGCAGGTAGAGGAACTAAGACCTGTGATTATCTTTTTAACAGTTTCATCATTGACAGGTGCAAAAAACAGTGCAAAAAACTAGTTAGCAGTAAAAGTAACTATTGCGTTACTTTTTCGTTTGTTGTGGTACCGAGCTTTAGCTGGCTGTAATTTAGGATAACTTCTAAGTAGATTAATTGTTGCAACAACCCCTCCCTATTTTAGTATGATATGTTAGTTTAGGGAACTGTCCTGCAGGCAAACAGGTATAAGACAGGCCAAGGTGCCATTTAATTAATTTGCATTTATTTCTATCCATTGATCAAACAAACAGATTACAAAACTTGCAATTGAAAGAGACTATTTTAAAATAATTAGTTCCCAAAGACACACACGAGCAACACTCGCGCCTGACAGTCAAGTCCCAGGAAAAATACAGTACGCAGAGCGCGCCTGACAGACAAGAACCAGGGAAAATACAGTTCGCAGAGCGCGCCTGACAGACAAGAACCAGGGAAAATACAGTTCGCAGAGCGCGCCTGACAGACAAGAACCAGGGAAAATACAGTTCGCAGAGCGCGCCTGACAGACAAGAACCAGGGAAAATACAGTTCGCAGAGCGCGCCTGACAGACAAGAACCAGGGAAAATACAGTTCGCAGAGCGCGCCTGACAGACAAGAACCAGGGAAAATACAGTTCGCAGAGCGCTGAGTATGTGAACAGAGCAATCGCTTGCTGCTGTTATTATAATAGCTAGATCCATGCTTGCAGCCCGTGCAAAGCTTGCACTCACTCACAGCCGCTAACAACAACCAGAGCGGCCACGGAGGAGGCCATCTCACACGCAGCATTCTGAGTGATATTCTTATGGATAAATGGGCGGGTCATTCGGACATGCGTTAATGCGTTTAAAAAAAAAACAACGCGTTATTGAAAAATGTAATTAACGTGAGTTAACGCAATAATTTTGACAGCCCTATATATATATATATATATATATATAAGCTCCCAGGCCTCTGGAAGAGGACCCGAGCTTAGAGAGGGATAACCGCCTGCGGAGGGCCAAAGGTGAGTGGACAATTTATTTTTTACATCGCACAGGATGAGAGCCTCTTGACTCTAAAACAGACAAGATCTAATTGGGAGTAAAAACCTGAGTTGCCACTGCTCATAAGTACAAACAGTAATACGCTGCTACGTGTGTCTATACTTTATGTCAAATGTAAACGGGTGGTCCTGTGTCGCTAACTCACCCTTTGTTATCATCACAACTCGGGCACATGTGAATCCAACAACCAAAGAAAAGCACCAGCTCACGCCGCACGTGGTGGCGCAACACAGAGTTGGGGTGCGTTCACAGACGGTGAACACCGTAGGAATTTTTAGTTTTCGGCGGAAAAAGTGCGGAGAATACAGGAGGGAGGAACTTTCCTGTGTTTCAAAAGAGAAAACAGATTCAAACGTTCATAGAGATGTCTGCCGTTCATGACACATAATATGAACTAATTCACGTTCAAGTTCTTTATTAAAAAATGTGTTGCGTTCAGTTCAACGTTCACAAAAAAATGAGCGTGTTCAATGAACGCGTTCTTTTGAACTCGTTCACGCACAACACTGGAGGTCAGATATAGACAATAATGACTGGTAGAACGTTTTGAAATGACATTCAAATCAATGGAGCGTTTTACTGCTGCTGTGAGGAGCGTGTGATGAACTTTTTTATTATATGACTTGGATCGTTCGTGCGCTCTGATTGGCTGATTTGTGGTCTGATATTTTCCTATCTCGGACCGTTACCATGACAATTGTTCCGCAGCTCGTATCAGATTTGATATCTTTCCTCGGTAAAAAAGAAACAAACATGAGCGACTGGGAGCATTCTCAGTGAATTCTATCATCAGGACGAGTTGGAAGAGCCAGAGGAAGTAAAAACAGCAAATAATCACAAAAACACAACTCCAACAGTCAAGAAGAGATTGACAACTGTGTTACAGACCAGAAAGGTAAAACCAGGACCAGGAAAACCAAGTGGGACATGAACATCACACATATGTAAAAAGCATTGGTAAAGACACCGATATATCCATGTTCTCCATGTTTAAACATAGATTGTTTGATTTATCAAAAGGATAAAAAGGAGGGAATGATATTGCAATGTAACTTAAGTTATCATTTTGGTAAATCATATGTGGCTATGTGCTGAATGCTCTGTACTGTAATTCACTTTAGCTCCAGGAAGACACCGGGAGGTCTGGGGAGCTCAAGTGTCTTTTGTTGTGTTGGTTTCTTCCTTTCCCATCTGCATACGAAGGTGTGTCTTGTTCTACCAAAAGGGGCTTGCAGACTGTGGATCTTCAGACTTGTCCTGAGAGAGGCTGGGTCTGTGTCCTGAGAGAGGCTGGGTCTGTGTCCTGAGAGAGGCTGGGTCTGTGTCCTGAGAGAGGCTGGGTCTGTGTCCTGAGAGAGGCTGGGTCTGTGTCCTGAGAGAGGCTGGGTCTGTGTCCTGAGAGAGGCTGGGTCTGTGTCCTGAGAGAGGCTGGGTCTGTGTCCTGAGAGAGGCTGGGTCTGTGTCCTGAGAGAGGCTGGGTCTGTGCCCTGAGAGAGGCTGGGTCTGTGTCCTGAGAGAGGCTGGGTCTGTGTCCTGAGAGAGGCTGGGTCTGTGTCCTGAGAGAGGCTGGGTCTGTGAGAGAGGCTGGGTCTGTGTCCTGAGAGAGGCTGGGTCTGTGTCCTGAGAGAGGCTGGGTCTGTGTCCTGAGAGAGGCTGGGTCTGTGTCCTGAGAGAGGCTGGGTCTGTGTCCTGAGAGAGGCTGGGTCTGTGTCCTGAGAGAGGCTGGGTCTGTGTCCTGAGAGAGGCTGGGTCTGTGTCCTGAGAGAGGCTGGGTCTGTGTCCTGAGAGAGGCTGGGTCTGTGTCCTGAGAGAGGCTGGGTCTGTGTCCTGAGAGAGGCTGGGTCTGTGTCCTGAGAGAGGCTGGGTCTGTGTCCTGAGAGAGGCTGGGTCTGTGAGAGAGGCTGGGTCTGTGTCCTGAGAGAGGCTGGGTCTGTGTCCTGAGAGAGGCTGGGTCTGTGTCCTGAGAGAGGCTGGGTCTGTGTCCTGAGAGAGGCTGGGTCTGTGTCCTGAGAGAGGCTGGGTCTGTGTCCTGAGAGAGGCTGGGGTCTGTGAGAGAGGCTGGGTCTGTGTCCTGAGAGAGGCTGGGTCTGTGAGAGAGGCTGGGTCTGTGTCCTGAGAGAGGCTGGGTCTGTGTCCTGAGAGAGGCTGGGGTCTGTGTCCTGAGAGAGGCTGGGTCTGTGTCCTGAGAGAGGCTGGGTCTGTGTCCTGAGAGAGGCTGGGTCTGTGTCCTGAGAGAGGCTGGGTCTGTGAGAGAGGCTGGGGTCTGTGTCCTGAGAGAGGCTGGGTCTGTGTCCTGAGAGAGGCTGGGTCTGTGTCCTGAGAGAGGCTGGGTCTGTGAGAGAGGCTGGGGTCTGTGTCCTGAGAGAGGCTGGGTCTGTGTCCTGAGAGAGGCTGGGTCTGTGTCCTGAGAGAGGCTGGGTCTGTGTCCTGAGAGAGGCTGGGTCTGTGTCCTGAGAGAGGCTGGGTCTGTGTCCTGAGAGAGGCTGGGTCTGTGTCCTGAGAGAGGCTGGGTCTGTGTCCTGAGAGAGGCTGGGTCTGTGAGAGAGGCTGGGTCTGTGTCCTGAGAGAGGCTGGGTCTGTGTCCTGAGAGAGGCTGGGTCTGTGTCCTGAGAGAGGCTGGGTCTGTGTCCTGAGAGAGGCTGGGTCTGTGTCCTGAGAGAGGCTGGGTCTGTGTCCTGAGAGAGGCTGGGTCTGTGTCCTGAGAGAGGCTGGGTCTGTGTCCTGAGAGAGGCTGGGTCTGTGTCCTGAGAGAGGCTGGGTCTGTGTCCTGAGAGAGGCTGGGTCTGTGTCCTGAGAGAGGCTGGGTCTGTGTCCTGAGAGAGGCTGGGTCTGTGTCCTGAGAGAGGCTGGGTCTGTGTCCTGAGAGAGGCTGGGTCTGTGTCCTGAGAGAGGCTGGGTCTGTGTCCTGAGAGAGGCTGGGTCTGTGTCCTGAGAGAGGCTGGGTCTGTGTCCTGAGAGAGGCTGGGGTCTGTGTCCTGAGAGAGGCTGGGTCTGTGTCCTGAGAGAGGCTGGGTCTGTGTCCTGAGAGAGGCTGGGTCTGTGTCCTGAGAGAGGCTGGGTCTGTGCCTTACTTACGGTGGCACGGTGGCTGAGTGGATAGCACTCTCGCCTCTCAGCAAGAAGGTACTGGGTTCAAATCCCGGCCGGACCAGGGCCTTTCTGAGTGGAGTTTGCATGTTCTCCCCGTGTCTGCGTAGGTTTCCTCCGGGTACTCCGGTTTCCCCTACCACTAAAAATATGTAAAATAGTTCTGGCATGCGCCTCCTGTACTGGCCCCGCTCCCATCTCTGTGTGGAGTGAGAGACAAATGCTCAATAATAACAATTGTAAACCGCTTTGAGACTCTGGTCTGTGAAAGGCAGTATATAAATAAAGCTTGCTTACTTACTTACTCTGTCAAGACTTTCTCCTTGTACAATGTAACAAGTAAAAGATTAACTTTGTCTCTTTGTTGTGTGAGATTTCATCAGGTTCAACTGTAGTTGAAACAACTTTATCAGACACAGACTGAGAACTTACAGCGGGCGCCTCAATCCTCTGATCAGTTCTTCATGTCACAGTTTGACACTTTGGTCAAATGTGTTTTTAGTTGAAACCGATCCATATTTGCACAAATTAAAAATAGTCATATAATAAAACATTTAATAACCTCGCTTGCTCGTCTGTACCTTGGTCTGATATTTCTCTGTACAGTCCTGGCGCTCGGTTAATAAGCCGTTAGTATTTTCACTACAGCCTCACACAGATGTACGTTTCTCTTCTTCGCCGGTTCTTTGGCGTCTGTTTGAGTTTCGCCGCTGCCGTGTGCAAACAGCCCACTGTGCAGAACGCAGCAGCACTAAATAAAAACAAATTATTTCCAATGTCAGCGCGGCGGCAAGTGTGGCCGAGTTAGCTCCAATTTACCGAAGCTTTCAAGCACAGCATGAAGGCTCGGCAAGGACACGGACTGGAGCAAAGCGACCGCGGAGACAACACTTAACAACAAAGAATTATGTCACGACCACTTGTTTTTTTAAAGTGGTGTTTTAAACTCGTGCCCAAAAGTGATCGAGCTTTAGCCTCGAGTTTTAACCTTTAGCCTCTATTTTTAACCTTTAGCTTTAGCCTCTAGTTTTAACCTTTAGCTTTAGCCTCCATCTTTAACCTCTAGCTTTAGCCTCAATCTTTAGCCTTTAGCTTTAGCCTCTAGTTTTAGCCTTTAGCTTTAGCCTCTAGTTTTAGCCTTTAGCCTTAGCCTCGAGTTTTAACCTTTAGCTTTAGCCTCTAGTTTTAACCTTTAGCTTTAACCTTTAGCTTTAGCCTCTAGTTTTCACCTTTAGCTTTAGCCTTTAGCCTTAGCCTCGAGTTTTAACCTTTAGCTTTGGCCTCTAGTTTTAACCTTTAGCTTTAACCTTTAGCTTTAACCTTTAGCTTTAGCCTCTAGTTTTAACCTTTAGCTTTAGCCTTTAGCTTTAGCCTCTAGTTTTAACCTTTAGCTTTAGCCTTTAGCTTTAGCCTCTAGTTTTAACCTTTAGCTTTAGCCTCAATCTTTAACCTTTAGTTTGAGCACATTCTGACTGAGCCTTAAGCAAAAGTATCTTATTTTAAAAAGAGACAGTCAGTGTATGCCAGACCTGCATGTGAAAGCAACATCCCATCAGACCTCTGAAGCTAAGCAGGGCAGGGCCTGGTTAGTAATGTGATGGGATTAGATTAATTCTCAAGTTTTAACCTTTAGCTTTATCCTCGAGCTGTAGCCTTAATCTTTACAGCCATGTTTCCCGTCATCTTGTTTATGAAGCACTGCTTTAAAGCTTTGTGAAGATGAGACATTTACAACCAGAGCTAAAGCTTTTTCAGACTCGGGAGGTTCCTCAACGTCAAAAAATGACTCACCACAGACTCAGAAAAATGAAAGAAAAATACTTATTTTAGGGTCTAAATGACTCAGGGTCTGTCAAGACAGAAAATATAATCATTTAACTGTTTTAATTAGGGTATTTTTGAATTGGCAGGTACATTTCAACCGAGGACTTTAAATAACTAAACATGGGGAGGCAGCGTTTCAGATTTATGCACCAGTCTTCCTGAAAATGTGAGGCAGGCTGATCCAGGTTAAAAACAGGTCTGTTAAGCTGTAAATACGATTGAAGGATTTTATAATTCCTCTGTTTAATGCACTGTGTCTATCCTGTGTGGGATTTTAATGGGTTTTTAATACTAATCATATATTTTAATGTACATCTAGATTTTAATGTTTGATGTGATGTGGGTTTGAGTTTCCTTGTGTGGGAAATCTTGTTTAAACACAGTCAGAATGTGTCAGATTAAGATAAAAACCATTTGATTTAAGCATTTATTACCCAATATTTATCATTTTTTGGCAGTGTAGGCATTGTGCTTTAGTTTAGTCCTGAAATTTAGAGTAATAAACAATTCAAACAGAATAAATAATAGTTTAATGCCATTATCTATGTGTTGTCACTGGAAAGAGATAAACGTGCTATCGCTAATAGAACCACTGTACATTCGGCCACTAAACAAATACTGTTTTTACCCTCCTGCAATTAACTCTGTAACGAATGAGACAATTTTCTCTGAAGCCGACGCAGCCGAGTAGACGAATGGAGAGTCGTACTTCACCCGAGGAGCATTTACCGCGAGTCACGAACCGTTGACTTGAGACATCTCTGGATTTTGCTGAGTGTAGCATCTGCTCTGTCGGGTTTCTGCTGTAGCTTCAAGACGCTCTATTTGCTTTAGCGTTTTGATGAAGTGGTGGAATTGAAATGTAAGTGGAAGATACATGTATTAGAATAAACTTTATATAAACTGCGTCATGTGGTGTTGTAGAGAGAGTTCTGCCTCATTTCTCACAAAGAAATGAACTTTATTCTGAGTGAGAAATGACAGATCAAACTCCCCAAGGTTTCTCACTTCTTCCCACTTTTGAGGACAGTGCTAGCTTAGTCTTACCATGTGTAAACTCTGGTCCATGATCATCTCCTACATGTATGTCTGGTCTTACCATGTGTAAACTCTGGTCCATGATCATCTCCTACATGTACGTCTGGTCTTACCATGTGTAAACTCTGGTCCATGATCATTTCCTACATGTACGTCTGGTCTTACCATGTGTAAACTCTGGTCCATGATCATTTCCTACATGTACGTCTGGTCTTACCATGTGTAAACTCTGGTCCATGATCATCTCCTACATGTACGTCTGGTCTTACCATGTGTAAACTCTGGTCCATGATCATCTCCTACATGTACGTCTGGTCTTACCATGTGTAAACTCTGGTCCATGATCATTTCCTACATGTACGTCTGGGTCTGATCCTAGTGGCTGCAGTTTCCTCGGTTAAATCTCCTCCGACCAATCAGAGAGCGGGGGAGGCGGGTGTTGTAGGTCGGTGTCGGTGACGTCAAGAGTTTGTGCTGAATTTTCTGGTTGTAGTTTGTCGGAGAATGCGATAGTAAAATAATCTGTTCTGGTTCAATCCAAATATCAAGAAACTGAAGCCGGAGCAAGAGGAATGTTTAGTAAATGTCATTGAAGCAAAGATTGTGGCTCTACTCCCCACGGGCTCCGTTAGCGGCAAAGGAGATGGCTAAAGCTAGGCTAATGCTAAAGCTAGGCTAAATGCTAACAACTCACTCGGGCTCATCACAAACGTCACAGTAAACTCAGATCCAATGGTTTCAATCTGCAAAAGGAGTTAGCCCCTCCCACCTGTTCACGGAGTCAATGGAGCAAATCTAGACCTTAGTATGAAATGAAATGAGTACAATGGTATTTATCATTTTTATCTATTTTACTTTCCAAAATAAACATAATAAGTTACAGACCTGTTTAAGTTTTGGTTTTGTTGAATTGTAACGTCCCTGAACATTTACAGAAGCTAATATTCAGCTTTTCTTTGACAGTTCCAGATTGTGGACATTAGACAGATACGGAGCATTATGGTGTCGCACAAGAAGAGAATGAGCTGCAGAATATACAGCTATTCTCCCCGAGGCCTGTCTCACATTTTCAGGAAGACTGCTCCAGATTTTAGCAGCATGAATCTCAAATGTTACCTCCTGATGTTTAGTCCTGACTCAGAGTCCCAGCAGGAGGCCAGTCCCTGTGATCCTCAGAGTCCCAGCAGGAGTCCAGTCCCTGTGCTCCTCAGAGTCCCAGCAGGAGTCCAGTCCCTGTGCTCCTCAGAGTCCCAGCAGGAGGCCAGTCCCTGTGCTCCTCAGAGTCCCAGCAGGAGTCCAGTCCCTGTGCTCCTCAGAGTCCCAGCAGGAGTCCAGTCCCTGTGCTCCTCAGAGTCCCAGCAGGAGGCCAGTCCCTGTGCTCCTCAGAGTCCCAGCAGGAGTCCAGTCCCTGTGCTCCTCAGAGTCCCAGCAGGAGTCCAGTCCCTGTGCTCCTCAGAGTCCCAGCAGGAGTCCCAGTCCCTGTGCTCCTCAGAGTCCCAGCAGGAGTCCAGTCCCTGTGCTCCTCAGAGTCCCAGCAGGAGGCCAGTCCCTGTGCTCCTCAGAGTCCCAGCAGGAGACCAGTCCCTGTGATCCTCAGAGTCCCAGCAGGAGGCCAGTCCCTGTGATCCTCAGAGTCCCAGCAGGAGGCCAGTCCCTGTGATCCTCAGAGTCCCAGCAGGAGGCCAGTCCCTGTGCTCCTCAGAGTCCCATGAATGAATGAATGAATGAATGAGGTACACATTTTTGCAGGTGCAATAACAAATGAGACCTTTTTAAGAATATTCACCATGTTTTTCACTTATTGCCAAAGGCTCAGAATTAGACTTAAACATGTCCATGAGGCTGAGGACTCTCCATGTCAAGGCTCCATCTTGAAATACAGTGGGTCATAAGGGACAAAAAGCAGTTTGAGCGGGAGTTGGGGACCACTGTCAAAGACCACATATTGTCCTGTGAAGCTACGGTAGTACAGGAAATTACAACATATGATCTCGACGCTGAATGGGAGGAAAAACTACACAGTGGACCTTTAAATGTGATGTTTGACTTTCTCACATGAATCTGTTTTTTTCACGTGAGATTCACCTTTTTCGATCTTCAATCTTTTCTGAGCCGGAATTTACAGCAGCAAACTTAACAGGACGTAAATAGAATCAACTCCAACAACAATCTGTGACTCCTCCAGTTTTCAGACTCACACAGTCCACGAACCGCCCATCCCCCGAGAGGTCCTGCCCCCTTTGAACTTTGACTTCAGAATAAACCGTTTTACTTTGCCGCACAATAAACGGTGATTTAAAACGGCTCAGATTCCATTACGGAGCGACCCGGGCGGAGTCAAGGTCTGGAGCAGCAGCACGATGGGAGCAGTGCGATTCCTGGAGCCGCAGTGTTGTAGACTGTCTGGGTGAAGGAGAGCCAGCGGTAAATCTGTGGAATGTGTTTGGGACAGGTGGTTATGGTTCGGAGGTTAAACGTCTTATAGACTTTTATGGCTGCGGTCGGAGAAGCCGCGGCGGCGAGCAGAACGTGCAACTTCAACGTTTCAGGTCGAGAGATGAGGATTTGGGAGAGGTTTGTAACGGGAAAAACCAGAGAAAGACCAGAGAGAGACCAGAGAGACCAGAGAGAGACCAGAGAGAGAGCAGAGAGAGAGACCAGAGAAAGACCAGAGAGAGACCAGAGAGAGGCCAGAGAGAGACCAGAGAGAGACCAGAGAGAGATAAGAGAGAGAAAAGAGAGAGACCAGAGAGAGACCAGAGAGAGACTAGAGAGAGGCCAGAGAGAGAGACCAGAGAGATACACCAGAGAGAGACCAGAGAGAGACCAGAGAGAGAGACCAGAGAGAGACCAGAGAGAGACAAGAGAGAGACCAGATAGAGAAAAGAGAGAGACCAGAGAGAGACCAGAGAGAGACTAGAGAGAGGCCAGAGAGAGAGACCAGAGAGAGAGAGAGAGAGAGACCAGAGAGAGAGAGAGAGACCAGAGAGAGACCAGAGAGAGACCAGAGAGAGACCAGAGAGAGAGACCAGAGAGAGAGCAGAGAGAGAGAGAGAGAGAGACCAGAGAGAGAGAGAGAGACCAGAGAGAGACCAGAGAGAGACCAGAGAGAGACCAGAGAGAGAGACCAGAGAGAGACCAGAGAGAGACCAGAGAGAGTGACCAGAGAGAGACTAGAGAGAGGCCAGAGAGAGACCAGAGAGAGACCAGAGAGAAACCAGACAGAGGCCAGAGAGAGACCAGAGAGAGACCAGAGAGAGACTAGAGAGAGACCAGAGAGAGACCAGAGAGAGACCAGAGAGAGACTAGAGAGAGACTAGAGAGATGCCAGAGAGAGACCAGAGAGAGACCAGAGAGAGACCAGAGAAAGACCAGAGAGAGTCTAGAGAGAGACCAGAGAAAGACCAGAGAGAGACCAGAGAGAGAGACCAGAGAGAGAACAGAGAGAGACAAGAGAGAGACCAGATAGAGAAAAGAGAGAGACCAGAGAGAGACCAGAGAGAGACTAGAGAGAGGCCAGAGAGAGAGACCAGAGAGAGAGACCAGAGAGACCAGAGAGAGACCAGAGAGAGAACAGAGAGAGACAAGAGAGAGACCAGATAGAGAAAAGAGAGAGACCAGAGAGAGACTAGAGAGAGGCCAGAGAGAGAGACCAGAGAGAGAGACCAAAGAGAGAGACCAGAGAGACCATAGAGAGACCAGAGAGAGAGACCAGAGAGAGACTACAGAGAGGCCAGAGAGAGACCAGAGAGAGACCAGAGAGAAACCAGACAGAGGCCAGAGAGAGACCAGAGAGAGACCAGAGAGAGACTAGAGAGAGACCAGAGAGAGACCAGAGAGAGACCAGAGAGAGGCCAGAGAGAGACCAGAGAGACCAGAGAGAGACCAGAGAGAGACCAGAGAGAGACTAGAGAGAGACTAGAGAGAGACTAGAGAGAGACTAGAGAGAGACCAGAGAGAGACCAGAAAAAGACCAGAGAGAGACCAGAGAGAGACTAGAGAGAGACCAGAGAAAGACCAGAGAGAGACCAGAGAGAGACCAGAGAGAGACCAGAGAGAGACCAGAGAGAGACCAGAGAGAGAGACCAGAGAGAGACCAGAGCGAGACCAGAGAGAGACCAGAGAGAGACCAGAGAGAGACCAGAGAGAGACCAGAGAGAGACAAGAGAGAGATAAGAGAGAGACCAGATGAAGACTAGAGAGAAATCAGAGAGAGACCAAAGAGAGAGACCAGACTGAGACCAGACTGAAGGACTGGAGGTCTTTTTGTGCTCTGAGACTGCATACAACTAGGTCACATCTACATCTTCTTTTGTGTTCCCCAGAAAGTAGGTCATGTTCAAATCATAGTTGGCCTTTACTGAACAAAAGTTTAAATGGATTTATTCCCAAATAAAAAAACAAAAGTACATCATGTCCACAATGTTTAATTTTAAGGTTTTTAACTCTTTAGGCGCCAGCGTTTTTTGGAGAGATATATTGTGAAACAGACAAAACATAAGAAATAGTTTGAGATTGTCGACGAGTTTGATCAATAACAGAAATACATAATTATATAAGAAAAATGTCCTCAGTCCTGGGTCTACAGCCTCAGTCCTGGATCTGCAGCCTCAGTCCTGGATCTGGGGTCTACAGCGTCAGTCCTGGATCTGCAGCCTCAGTCCTGGGTCTACAGCCTCAGTCCTGGGTCTACAGCCTCAGTCCTGGATTTACAGCCTCAGTCCTGGGTCTACAGCCTCAGTCCTGGGTCTACAGCCTTAGTCCTGGATCTGCAGCCTCAGTCCTGGATCTGCAGCCTCAGTCCTGGATCCACAGCCTCAGTCCTGGATCTACAGCCTCAGTCCTGGATCTACAGCCTCAGTCCTGGGTCTACAGCCTCAGTCCTGGATCTACAGCCTCAGTCCTGGATCCACAGCCTCAGTCCTGGATCTACAGCCTGTCTGTCCGTTGGAGTGGATCCCTCTCTAGATCCTCCCAGAGGTTTCTCGCCTTTTATTTGCAATCTCACTCCGGGCCGGTGGGGGTGTACCCGGAAAGAGAATTACCCAATGCAATTACCCTATGGCTTCGTCTTTCCTCTCAAAAACGTCTTTACAGGATGGTCCAAAAGTCGCTCTTGGTCCAAAGCTATGTTCCAGATGCTGTCAATGCAGTTTTTCTTTTTTCTTTGGACCAGTCTAGTTTAGTTGCTGTGGACTTTTGAATGCACTCAATAAATGAATGGGGCGAGAGCAGCTAACACATGTAAAAATACATCTTTGCACATTTTCCTGTGGGAGGGGCTGCCCGCGGCCATTTTGAAAACGCCCATGTCTGCGGCACATACATTTAAACGGAGAAAATAGGCGTCACTTCGTCTGTTATTATTTACAGCCCATGATTTCCTGTCTCTTTAAGGACACTACATGCGCCCGGAGTCTTACCGGTCGAGTGCGATGCAGCAGAGGTGGAGGATGGAGGCGGTGGTCAGGAGCACGTCCAGAGAGGTCCGGACCAGGCAGAAGGTCTCTCCGTAGATCCAGTGCTGATGGACCAGCTCGATGGCTCCGAACGGCATCACCAACACCGACACCAGCAGGTCCGCGAACGCCAGCGACACGATGAAGTAGTTGGTCTTGATTTTCCTGCAGGAGAAACCAGGATAAAAACAGGATCAAACCAACGGGGACGCTGGGGGACACACGTCTTCACCCTGAGCTCTCATTCTGCTGTCACCGGAGACAAGTGTCGCTGACGTGCTCGCCGATACCGGTTATACGACGTCTCTGGATTTTTTTTTCAACATAATTGTGGTCCTCCTTGGTTCCGTTCTCAAACTTGTCAGTGGAAGGAACGATAAAAGTTACTCCTGTGAGATCACGTGGGCAACAAAAAACACATAACAATGTATTTCAAGATGGCGCATGGACATGGAGCGTCTTCCAGCCTCATGGACATTTATACCAATTCTAAGTCTATAACAACAATTACAGATTATGGTGGAGGTGGATAACGATGACTATGAAAGATCCTCCACTTTGAGATGAATAAAGTAATATCAGATTATCTTATCTGACTTGTGATTGGTTAACATGTTTTTTTTCATTTGGAGCAACTGTAAAAATGACTGAGTGCGCTGCAAAAAATGATAAAATATGAGGTCATAAAAGCGTGAATCGAGTGGTTTTTATCTTAATCTGATACATTTAGTCATTTAGTCTGATTTCAAGAACTGTTGCTGTAGTTTCTCGTTTCCAAGGGAGACATTTCTTGTATGGATCATTTTGTTTTGTCCAATTGGGGAATCTTGTTTTTTTTTGCAGTGTGTACCTTTAAGTGCAGTATAATAAGTCAAAGATAGACACATGCCTTTTCTGCAATAATTATAATAATGCATTGGTTTAGTACAGAGCTTAGACCTAAAAGCCTCTACACATGATTCTTCTTTCTCTCCAAACACAGCAGTGATGAACTACTACTATAGCCACAGCTGCCCTGGGGCACACTGACAGAAGCCCCTACACCACCACCAACCATTCACACTCACAGCAGACTCATGCCCAAGGACACAACGAAAGCAGACATCAGTGGGAGTCAGGGGAGAAAGAGAGAGAGACCTGAGGTCTCTCTCTCTGGCCTCTCTCTGGCCTCTCTCTAGTCTCTCTCTGGTCTCTCTCTGGTCTCTCTCTGGTCTCTCTCTCTGGTCTCTCTCTGGTCTCTCTCTCTCTGGTCTCTCTCTGGTCTCTCTCTGGCCTCTCTCTGGTCTCTCTCTGGTCTCTCTCTGGTCTCTCTCTGGTCTCTCTCTCTGGTCTCTCTCTGGTCTCTCTCTGGTCTCACTCTGGTCTCTCTCTCTGGCCTCTCACTGGCCTCTCTGGCCTCTCTCTGGCCTCTCTCTGGTCTCTCTCTGGTCTCTCTCTGGTCTCTCTCTCTGGTCTCTCTCTGGTCTCTCTCTGGCCTCTCTCTCTGGTCTCTCTCTGGTCTCTCTCTGGCCTCTCTCTGGCCTCTCTCTGGTCTCTCTCTGGTCTCTCTCTGGTCTCACTCTGGTCTCTCTCTGGTCTCTCTCTGGCCTCTCTCTCTGGTCTCTCTCTGGTCTCTCTCTGGTCTCTCTCTGGTCTCTCTCTGGCCTCTCTCTCTGGCCTCTCTCTGGCCTCTCTCTGGTCTCTCTCTGGTCTCTCTCTGGTCTCTCTCTGGTCTCTCTCTGATCTCTCTCTGGTCTCTCTCTCTGGCCTCTCTCTGGCCTCTCTCTGGTCTCTCTCTGGTCTCTCTCTCTGGCCTCTCTCTGGTCTCTCTCTGGTCTCTCTGGCCTCTCTCTGGTCTCTCTCTGGTCTCTCTCTGGTCTCTCTCTGGCCTCTCTCTCTGGCCTCTCTCTGGCCTCTCTCTGGTCTCTCTCTAGTCTCTCTCTAGTCTCTCTCTGGTCTCTCTCTCTGGCCTCTCTATCTGGTCTCTCTCTGGTCTCTCTCTGGTCTCTCTCTGGTCTCTCTCTAGTCTCTCTCTGGTCTCTCTCTCTGGCCTCTCTCTGGCCTCTCTATCTGGTCTCTCTCTGGTCTCTCTCTGGTCTCTCTCTCTGGTCTCTCTCTGGTCTCTCTCTGGTCTCACTCTGGTCTCTCTCTCTGGCCTCTCACTGGCCTCTCACTGGCCTCTCTCTGGTCTCTCTCTGGTCTCTCTCTGGTCTCTCTCTGGTCTCACTCTGGTCTCTCTCTGGTCTCTCTCTGGCCTCTCTCTCTGGTCTCTCTCTGGTCTCTCTCTGGTCTCTCTCTGGTCTCTCTCTGGCCTCTCTCTCTGGCCTCTCTCTGGCCTCTTTCTGGTCTCTCTCTGGTCTCTCTCTGGTCTCTCTCTGGTCTCTCTCTGGTCTCTCTCTGGTCTCTCTCTGGTCTCTCGCTGGCCTCTCTCTGGTCTCTCGCTGGCCTCTCTCTGGCCTCTCTCTGGTCTCTCTCTGGCCTCTCTCTGGTCTCTCTCTGGTCTCTCTCTGGTCTGTCTCTGGTCTCTCTCTGGTCTCTCTCTCTGGCCTCTCTATCTGGTCTCTCTCTGGTCTCTCTCTGGTCTCTCTCTGGTCTCTCTCTGGTCTCTCTCTAGTCTCTCTCTAGTCTCTCCCTAGTCTCTCTCTGGTCTCTCTCTCTGGCCTCTCTCTAGTCTCTCTCTGGTCTCTCTCTCTGGCCTCTCTCTGGTCTCTCTCTGGTCTCTCTCTGGTCTCTCTCTGGTCTCTCTCTGGTCTCTCTCTCTGCTCTCTCTCTGGTCTCTCTCTCTGGCCTCTCTCTAGTGACACTGCAATGACCACGAACGACATTAGTCGCCTCACATTGGAGCTTCGTGAGAGGGACCGTGCCACTATTGCAGACCTCCGTAAAGAAGTCCTTCGCCTCACTGCAGAGCTGCAGGATAAACAGTCACTCGTGTCCAAACTTTTTGATGTCGCTGGCGGGCAGCACTCACGGCTTATGTCACTGAGCGCTGCATACTGTGACACTGTCGTGTGGGAGAGATCTGTCAGCTCTGGGCCCTCTTGTTCTACACCTAAGTGCCCGGTTCGGAATAAAGAGCCTGCGGACTGCGAGGAGCCATCCAGCGCCGTGGCCCATGTGCTGAGCCTTTCAAACCGCTATGCAGCCCTCTCCGCTGACATCCCAGCCCCCTCAGCAGAACCCCTGGACTCTGCAGCAAACTCTACTGCTGTCCGTGGATCCAGGTCCACTGCGAGAAAGACACTCTTAAAGGAAGCTGTCCTCAGACGAAAGAGTGATCATTCCCCTTCTCTGACCCCAGTGCATCACCACCGCTTACCTTCACCGGGTCAGCAGCAGCGACCCGAGCCTGCTCCTCTCGCTGCTCCAGCGTCTCCGTGCACACAGCGTGGGTTGCCCGGAGCTGGGAATCAACACCCCCACTCCTCTCCATGTGTTCAGCAGCGCCCTGGTTCGGACCCATCCCTGGATGAGCCCGCTGGTTCTGGCCATGGACACCGAGCGCCCTCTCCGCGGCTACGTCCACTCTTCGCCCCGACTACTTTGATTGTTGGAGATTCCATCGTGAGGCACGTCCGCTTTTTTAACGCGGTCACTCACTGCATTACTGGAGCTACTGTCCCAGATCTGCTCATCCGTCTCCCTCCTCTGCTTCAGTCCCTGCCTGATACAATTTCAAAGGTAATCGTGCATGTGGGGATCAACGACATGAAGCTGCAGCAGTCCAAGGTCACAAAGAAGCATTTTATGGATCTATTCCGCCTCCTCCAGTCCTCTGGGTTGTGTGTTTTTATCTCTGGTCCAGTCCCGACTGTAAACCGGGGAGACTGCCTCTACAGTCGCGTTGTGGCGCTGAATATGTGGCTCCAGTCTGCATGCAGCACTTTTAACTTTGTTTTTGTGAACAACTTTGGCCTGTTCTGGAAGCGTCACGTGGCCTATCGTCCAGACGGTCTGCACCCGAACAGATACGGCACCAGTTTATTGATGGACTTTTTACGCCATGTTGTTCAGTGCTCCCCGAGGGGGGCGTGACTGTTTACATCCGAGGCCCCTCGGCCCCCACTACCACCTTCCTCCTCCACTCCAGCACCGGGTGAGTACTGTGGTGCAAACACTGACCCCTGTCCGTCTGGCAGTGTAATACCAGTCCTGCCACTGAACGGCACTTACTCAGTCATGCATCTGGAACTTAACAAAGTAAAACAGAGTTCACTTTTTAAACCAATAGAGACTGTGTGTGTTCCTCGCACCAGCTCAGAAATGTGTTTTAATTTGAATAAACACAAATATAACAGAAGGACAGCAGTTAGACGGTCCAACTCAGGAAATCTAATTCCAATTCTTTGTAGTCAATCAACTAAACCCACTGACACTGATATTATTTTTAACCTTGCTCTGCTTAATGTCAGATCACTATGCAATAAATCCTTTTTAATTAATAATTTTATCTGTTCTTATGATCTTGACTTTATGTTTATGACTGAAACTTGGCTTGACCATAATACAGAAAATGCAGTCTTAATAGAAACAACACCACCAAATTTCAAATTTGAATCAGAAATTCGAGAAAATAAAAGAGGAGGAGGCACAGCAGCAGTTTTTAAAGATTGTATTGTCTCCCATAGAGTACCTCTTGGGAAATTTTCCTCATTTGAGTATGTCTCTTTTAAAATAGAACAAAAACAATCTTCTATTCTTATTATTGTTGTGTACAAGCCGCCACAGTCATGTCATAGTTTCACTGATCATTTCACCGAGTTGCTTTCAGTTGTGTGCACAGACTTTGATAGTTTAGTCGTCATAGGTGATTTTAATATACATGTAGATAACGTTGATGATAGATACGCGAAAGAGCTGAGCTCTGTGCTGGAGACCTTTGGTCTCACTCAGCATGTGAGTGGCCCCCACCCATAGCAGAGGACACACTCTCGATCTGCTAATTACTAAAGGGGTTAATATCTCAAATGTAAATGTGGCCAATGTTGCTCTGTCAGATCATTTCTGTGTATTTTTTGATATGTTCAGCACGAGCTGAATCCTCAATTGTTAGAAGAAGAAGACACATAAACAAAAATACAGGTGAACTTTTCATGGGGATGATAAACTTTGATAACACGTTGTGTTCTACTGTGGATGAATTACTTAACTCTGTCACCTCTAGTGTTTTGGATGTTCTGGACACGATTGCTCCTGTAAAGGTCAAAATTGTTACAAATAAGCAAAAGGCGCCATGGACAAAAGCAGACTCTGTCAGGGCACAGAAGAGAGAGTGCCGGAGAGCCGAGCGGAAGTGGCGAAAGTCAAATCTCCAAGTTGACCATGAGATCTTCAAAGATGCATTGTGCAAGTTCAACAGTGTGCTACGTAGAACGAGGGAAACTTATTTTTCCGAAACAATCGAAGGTTGCAGTAACAATCTACGCGTTCTGTTCTCAACAGTAAATAAATTGACAAATCCCCCTGTTAAGATGCCATCAGAGCTTACCTCCAAAACCAAATGTAATGAGTTTGCAGAGTTTTTTAATGACAAAGTCCAAGGCATCAAAAATGCCATCACCTCCACAGTAGAAATTACAATCCAACAGCCAGTGAAGCTTTTTGGGCTGACACACTTTACACCAGTACAAAATGAAACTGTCCAAATGATAATTACAAGTCTGAGTTCTTCTACATGTAGCCTGGATGTATTACCTCCTAGATTTCTTAAATCTGTTCTGAGCAGTCTTTTACCTTCACTCACGCATATAGTAAATATGTCTCTTGAATCTGGAACATTCCCAATGGCCCTGAAAACGGCAGTCATCAGACCCCTCCTAAAAAAGAGGAGTCTGGATGCCTTGGCACTTAAAAATTATCGGCCCATTTCAAATCTGCCTTTCATGGGTAAAATTCTAGAAAAAAGTTGTCTATCAACAACTTACAGAATTTTTAATAATCAATCACTCTTTTGATATGTTCCAGTCTGGTTTTAGACCCCACCACAGCACAGAGACCGCTCTAGTGAAGGTAACAAATGACATCAGACTTAACACTGACGCAGGAAAAGTCTCAGTTCTTATCCTGTTAGATTTAAGTGCTGCTTTCGACACTGTCGAT